GATGGGGGTGAGGGAGGAGGTATGGGGGCAGGTGTAGCACTTCCTGCAGTTGCAGGGAAAAGTGCCGGGTGTGGTGGAGCTGGAGGGGAGTGTGGAGCGGACAAGGGAGTCATGGAGAGAGTGGTCCCTCCGGAAAGCAGATAAGGGTGGGGAGGGAAAGATGTCTTTGGTGGTGCACCTTCGCCGGTTACAGGGGAAGGTGCTGTAAGGCTGTGGGGGGCCTGTTGGGGGTGAAGGAAGAGTGGACCAGGGTGTCCTGGAGGGAACGGTCCCTGCGGAAGTTGTCCAGACCTGCTGAGCTTTTCCAGCAACTTTGCTTTTGTTCCTGATTTACAGCATCAGCAGTTCTTTCTGTTATTTATTACTGATAGGGCAATAGTTGGCCAGGTTGAATTTGTCCTGCTTTTTGTGGATAGGACATAGCCCGGCAATGTTCCATATTTCCGGGTAGATACCTGTGTTGTTACTATACTGAAACAGCTTGGTAAGGGGCACAGCTAGTTCTGGAGCTCATATCCTCAGTACTATTATTGAATGTAGTTTAGGCCCACAGCGTTTGCAGTGTGCAGCACTTCCAACTGTATTTTGATATCACATGAGGTGAATCCATTTGGCTGAAGACTGGCATCCCTGATGCTGGGAAGCTCTGGAAGAGATTGAGATGGATCTTCAATCTGCATTTCTGGCTGAAGATTGTTGTGAATGCTTCAGCCTTATTTTTTTGCACTGAAGTGCTGGGCTTTCGTATCATTGAGGATTTGTGGAGCCACCTCCTCCACTGAGTTTTTCAATTATATATCACCATTGGCAACAGGATGTGACAGGACTACAGAACTTAGATCTGATACATTGGTTGTAGCATCATTTACCTCTATCAATCACTTGTTGCTTATGCTGTTTGGCACGCAGGTAGCCCTGTTCTGTAGCTTCATCAGGTTGACACTTTATTTTTAGATATGCTCAGTGCTGCTCCTGCTATGCCGTCCTTCACTCTGCATTGAACTAGGGCTGAATCTTGGACAAATCTTCCTGTGCACGTTGTATCCATTGTGCCTCGAAGAACGGAACCTGGTAGAAGCTTTTCAGCCTCTGGAAGAAGGCAGTTGAGGAAGATTTTTGCAATGACATTCTCTGAGGCAGTGATACTGTATTATAGTCCAGTGACATAATTCAGAGTCCCATTGTAATGTTTTAGGGATATGGGTTTGAATCGTATTATGGCACAAGGTGAAATTTGAATTCAATTTTTAAAAAATTGGAATTAAAAACCTAGTCCAATGTCCATTGTCAATTTTTGTACCTATCTGGTTCCTATAAGTACCTATGGTTCACTTAGACCTTTAGGAAAAGAAGACTTCCTTCTTATGTTGTCTAACCTACTTGGCAAGTCGAGACCTACAGCGATGTGGCTGATTCTTAACTTGCCCTAGCAAGCCACCTAGCTCAATTATATTTAGGGATGAATAGTAAATGCTTGCCCAGTTAACAATGCCCACATCCCAGGCTCAAATTTGCCCATTTCCTGTCACTAAGCAAATCTTCTATATATGCTAATATATTGCCTGAACATGATGTGCTTTTATGTATGGTAATGTTTTATCTGACACTTTATTACATGGAAATCCAAGTACATTACTTTGGTTCCCTTTTTCCACCCTACTAATTAAATATCTTCAAAAAACTCTGGTTAAATTTATCAAACATGATTTTTCTTTCATAAAACCATGTTTACTCTGTTCAATCGCATGATGATTTTCTACCTCCTTAATATTGAATCCAGCATCTTCCCAAATGATGGATTTGCTTGCCTGTAATTTTCTATATTCTGTCTCTTCTTTTTTCCAATTGACTGGGACCTTTCAGTGGAATTTTGGAAGATTATAAACTTTCTTTGATTGCAAGAAGAGTTAATGATATTCACACCTGAGCATGGGAATGCCTGATGCAGCGCTGGCAAAGAAATAATTAAAATAAAACAGATTTATAAGTTAAACTTTGTCAGATATAATTTCCCAGGTGATTTTATACATGGGTGTGACTTCAGATAAGAAAAAAAATCCAACGTCGAGATAGACCAAGAAAAATATGGAAACATTTTCCTATATCCAAGAATGTTTCTATACAGATTGGCTATGGAGTTGGAAAATAAACCTCTCTAACCTTTTTGTCTTTCAGCTACACATCTTACAATATCAGAATATTTATGCTTAGCATCAAAAGCATGTCAAATAGGTTTAAATTGAAAAAGACATTTTCAATACAAAAACAAAATTTTGCACATGCTAGAAGTTTCAAGTAAGGACTGAAAACATTGGATATACTTGGATCTGACCACATTTGTGGAGAGATAAACAAAGTTAATTTTTCAGTTGATGACCTTAATAGGTTTGAAATGTCAGCAACTTAAAATGATTATCTCTGTTTTCTATCTCCAGAGATACTGCTTGAGCAGTTGAATAATTGCAGCCTTTGCTGTCGATTAAAATATGTGGAATGTTATTTTAATTTTGCATCTTTGATGTAACTTGAAGGTTCCTTTATTTTTGACAAAAATGTTTCTAATTTGTTTCTATTCTTTTTATCTCTGATGCTTGCCCTCACAGGAAGTTGAGGTTTGTATTTATTTTTCAATTGTACATTTGTTGTAATCTAATCCACAAGAATATTCTAAAATTACAATTTCACAGGTGAAGTGAATTTCTTTCTTTCTTGTCTTTCTTCCAGGATGATTATTTCAGAAGCTGGAACACTGGCAGACATTCGGATCCAGGTACCGTACTGGAAAATCTCTTCACAATCGTGATTAATGTCCAATATCGATTTTAAGTTTTCAGTCATAGAAAAGAAACTGCCACTTTTCAATTTTTTATAACAATAATTTGCTTATGAGAGAAAAATAAGCAGTGACTGAAATGTGCAACCATGCCTTATATGTAAATTACAACTGTTCTTTCAGAATCTCAATTGTCTGGCCTTTGGCCTTCCTGTTAGCACAATATTGTCACAGTTACTGAAGTGCTGAACCACTGACTTATCTTCAGTGACGTAGAGCCAACATGACCCTTACTCTGTCTCATCTGGTACTTCTCTTTATGGTCATCATTCTAAGCTCCATTTAATCCAACAATTGCAGACTTGAAAGGCCATAATAGACAAATAAATCAGCCATCCATCAGAACTGGCTGGATGACAAGAAGCGCTGTTGGATCAAACTTTTAGTATTCAAAGATATCCCCTGGCTGCCTCTTGTGAACTGCAAACTGTGTTCTTAAGCTCATCTGTCTTTTTCACCCTCCTTTCTGAAAAGAAGTGCAAAATACTCAGGGACTTAATTACCACTAAGATTCAGATCATCCAATCAGCTGCCTCCCTTCCAGTCAACTTTACTCCTAAGGTTGTTCCTGCTTTAGCCCTGAATGTGGACCTTTTTACAGTTTAGTTTGTTCTCTCTTTTTTATGTCTGGTCAGCTCACCTCGCCCATGAGGCCTACCTTTAATCTCCCTCAAAATGTTTTGCAGCTAAACAGCTGACCACCCAACCTCCATTCTAAGCTCCAATTTTAGTTGATACTTTTAACTGTTCTATCTCCTTTAAATCTGCTGTATCAAACTTCTTGGTATGGGGTTACAAGAGCATCTTTGACTTCTCTACCTTTGTAAACTGTGTCCGATCCCCAACTTCCATTGCTTTCCAAATCCTTAAATGCATTGAGACATCACAAATACATGTCCATTTTACCAAGAACTCTACGTTTCAATCCCTTCAGTCAGGTTTCCATCCTGTCACAGTAATAAAACCACTCTTAATGAAGTCATAAAATAACATGCATTGCGACCAAAGCAATGCAAACTTTAAATTATCCTTTCTCATTTTCCTGAAGCAGTTTGCAGTTTTTTTGGCATAGTTAACCACAACCTCCACTCGAGAACTCTACAATGTGTTTTGTCATTAAGGTGGATAAGAGTACGTCCATCTAGATACATTTTTAACAATCTTCTGAGAACTAGAGTACTACTTTAGGCAGTTTCTCATACCACTCCTGGCATTTTATTTCTGGTCTCAGCCAAGGATCTATCCTTCACCCCCCACCTAATTCTCATTCCTGTGGTGCACCCGGATGATATGTGGAAACAAAGAGCTGGTTTTCACTTGCATGCTGACAACACTTATTTTTGTTCACTATCACCACCTCAACTAATTCATCATCTTTAAATTTCAAATTGCTTATTCAACATTTTATCCAGATTAACAGAAATTTCCATCAAAGACATTAATTTTATTCCCTGCCACAATTTCAGTTGCCTAGCCCCCGACTTCATCACTCAAAAACCCAGTGTCCAAGTCCACTGTTCATAGCCTTGATGTCATACTGAAATCAGTTTTTAATCACACGTCTGCATTGCCATTCAGACCTCTATCATGCCCTTGCCTCAGTTCCTTTGCTCCTAAAACTCTCACCCATACTTTAATAATACCCTCAACTATCCTAATGCACTTTGGCTTTCCTTCCTTCTACCTTCTTTGAACTTAAGGTCTTCTAAATCTCTGGTTCTTTCTCTTACTAAGTTGTAGAACATAAGAGCAGGAGTAGCCCATTTAGCTGTGCTGTTCTGCTCCTCCATTCTAGATCATGGTTGATCAAATACCTCTACCATATTCCTTCCCTATCCCAATGTTGTTTGATGCCAACAGCATCTAGAAATCTATCAGTCTGTCCCTTGAACTTGTGAAATGACAGAACTTCCTTATCCTCTGGAATAGAGAATGTTGAAGATTTGCCACCCTCTGAGTGAAGAAGTGCTCCTCATCTCAGTCTTCAATGGCTTATCTTTTATTCTTAGACTATGCCCCCTAGTTCTAGACCATGCATCCATAACACATATACTTTCTGTATCTACTTTGTCTACTCCTTTAGGAATTTTGTAATTGTCTCTCATTCTTGTAAATCCCAGAGAATACAGGGCTAGACTCCACAGTCATTCTTTGTAGGACAGTCTGACCATCCCAAGAATCAGTCTGGTCAAGCTCCATTCCACTCCCTGTACAGCAAGTAAAGTATTTGTTTGGCAAGGTGATGAGAATTGTATACAATACCCCAGTGTGGGCTCTCCAGTGTTCTATACAGTTGAAGCAAACCTTCATTACTTTTGTGCTGAAACCTTTTTGTGGCGAAGTATCATTTGCCATCTGAAATACTCGCTGCATCTACGTGCCAGCTTTCAATGCCTTAAGAACAAGAACACTTTTAGCCCTGTTTGGACATCAGCACTTTCCGATCTCCTGATAATTAAGAAATACTTGGAATATTACATACAGTTCTGGTCACCATACTACCAGAGGGATGTAGATACTTTGGCAAGGGTAGAGAAAAGGCTTACTAGGATGTTGCCTGGTAAAGGCAAATTTAGCTATGAAGAAAGGTTGGATAGACTGGGTTTGTTTTCACTGGAATGCAGGAGATTGAGGGCTGACCTGATAGAAGTTTATAAGATTGTGAATGGCATGGATAGAGTGGAAAGTATGAGGCTATTTCCCAGGGTGGAGGTGTCAACTACTAGGGGACACAGGTTTAAGGTGCAAAGGGAGAAGTTTAAAAGAGATGTGCGAGGCACGTTTTTCACACAAAGGGTGGTGAGCTCCTGGAACGTGCTGCCAGAGGAAGTGGTGGAAGTAGACACAATAGGAGTATTCAACAAGCACCTGGATGAATACATGAATAGGAAGGGAATAGAAGGATATGGATCCTAGAAGAGAAGACAGTTTTAATATAAAGTAAAAACAGATTCTATATGTGTTCTTCCAATGAAAGGTTCTTACTGACTAATGCACTGATCCTGTTCCTTTTATCAGCACCAAACATCTCCTTTCCCTTTTTGCCCATCCCTCTAAGTGTTGAATGTCCTTAATATTCAGTTTCTAGGCTTCCAGTCTTGGTCACCCTAAAACCATATTTCTGTAATGGCAATTAAATCATATCCCTTCACTTCTGTTAACACAAATTTATCGTTCTTCAGATTGCTACGAGCATTCAGATAGTGTTCTTTTCAGTCTGCCTTTATACCACAATTCCGTAATTTGACCTTGGGTGATTCTAGGAATTTTTTTTGCCATTATTTCATGTATAATTTAAAGTTGTACTACATATCAACATTTTTCTTTTTATCTGAATTCCCTCTTGGATTCCCTTCACCCTGACAAGCCGTAACAAAACTCCTGATGTGTATGTTAGTTCCTGCAATGCCACCCTCATTGTATAGGTTTCTGCTCCAGCAACAATTCCAATGCCATAGAAATCTAAAATTCTGTCTTGTGAACCATTTTTCCAACCATGTGTTCATTCATTGGATCTTCTATTTTTATTCTCACTAGCATAATGAAATATACAAAATAGGAGCGGAAGTAGACCATTTGATCCCTTGAGCTTTGTGTGCCATTCACTGAGATCGTGGCTGATCCATTTGTGTTTCAAATTCAACATTTCCAAATACCTCTGATAACTTGATTCTTATTAGGCAAATCTAACAATGCCATAAAAATATTTGATGACTTTATGTCCACAGTCTTGAGGCAGAGTTCCTATGTTGCACAATCCTCTGAGGGAAAAGAAATGTCTCCTTATGTTTGTCCTAAGATGGTGACACCTACTTTCAAAACCGTGCCCCCAAGTTCGAGACTGATCACAAAGGAAGCATCTTTTCCATGTTCTTCATGTCAAGACTGGTGGTGCCATAAGATTGTCTCTCACTTGTTTCACCAGTGATGTGATGGAGGAGTCATCGACAGTGTAGTCAAGCAGCACTTTCTCAGCAGTAACCTACTCACTGACATTCACTTTGGGTTCGGCCAGGGCCAATTGACTCCTGACCTCATTACTACCTTGGTTCAACTATGGACAAAAAATTTGAATTCCCGAGGAGAGGTGAGAGTGATTGCCCTTGACATCAAGGCTACATTTGATCGAGGAGCTCTAGCGAAACTGGAGGCAATGGGAATCAGGGAACTCTCCGCTGTTTGAATTTCTACCTCGCACAAAGGATGATGATTGTGATTGTTGGAAGTCAGTCATCTCGGCTCCAGGACTTCTGTACAGGAACTCCTCAGGGGAAGTGTTCTAGGCCCAACCACCTTGATCTATTTCACCAATGATCTTCCTTCCATCAGAAGGTCAGAAGTGGATTTTTGCTTATGTGTTCACAATGTTTGGCACCATTCGTAACTCCTCAGAAGCAGTCTATGTCCAAATGCAGCAAGACCTTGACAATATTTAGGCTTGGGTTGACAAATAGCAAATTATTAAGCCATACAAGTGCTAAGCAATGATCATCTTCAAAAGAGAATCTTACCATTACCCTTTGACATTCAATGGCAATACCAACTCTGAATTGCCCCGCTATCAACATCCTGGGGGGTTACCATTAACCTAAATTGGAATAAGCCATATAAATGCTGTTGCTATAAGAGTAAGCCACAGACACAGAATACTGCAGTGAGTAACAGCACCTCCTGACTCCGCAATGCCTGCCTTTCATCTACAAGTCACAAGTTAGGAGTGTGATGGAATATTCATGATTTGCATGGTGAGTGCAGTTCCTACTCAAGAAGCTTGACCAGCCAGGACAATGTAGCCTGTTTGTTTTGCACCACATCCACAAAAAATTACCCCTCCCCTCCACTACTCATGTACAGTAGCTGAAGTGCGTAACATGCACACAGTGAACTGCAGCAATTCACCAAGGCTGTTTAGACAGTACCGTCCAAACTCAATGCTA